GTGGGTGTACGAGAGGGAACGAGATAGGCCGAGGGTGGGAGGGAGAGGAAAGGAGGCAGTGCGCGCGCTCCAAGTCGATTTTTCGAAAATCCACCGTGAAACCTTCGTTAACGGCGATCCGAGGAGTCGATAACCGAGTTCGTGCGCCGATCGATCGGTCGATCGATACTCGCTTGATTTCGATCGAGGCTTCGTGTGTCGAAAATCGAAACGTGAACAAGTTCTGTTTGGCAAGGTCTCTTTTCCTCGTGTTTAGGAGGTTATATCGTATTGCTTCCTTTTTTTTCACACTGAATCCTTTTTCTGTTTTCGACGAGCGATTTTCGCCGTTGCGTAAGAGTTCGAAGAGTAAGAATTGGAAACAGGTATTGTGAAAATTTTAATGTCATTTACAATTAATATCGTGGTTGGATTCTTATTGCGAGATGTGATATATAGAGTAGTTGGATGTTTTGCGTGGGTGTTGCTTATTAGAGTTAACTAATATGTGATGTTTTATAACGTACGTGTAAATACGATTCGAGAGTAAATTCGTCGGAGTAGAGATGGATAAAGTTTAGGTAAATTTATTTTTTATTATGAATTTGAAAAATTATAAATATAGATGTTTATAACCTCAAATTTCATAATTGCAAACTATGTTTATTTTATAAATTTATTTATTTTAATTAAATTATCTATTCGAATTCCACTTCATTATTCTTATACAAACAAATTTAAATCTACAATTTTTCATCATTTTTTTCGAATCTTTTTTTACAAACCACAACGAAACGTCAAACCGTATACGTACATGTTCTCCATATATCTCTTTCTCGTCGCACGCAAAGCGTTAAATATCCCCATTAACGTCGCAATTTCACACTCGATACAACCTCGAACGATAATGAGCTACGATCCCCGTGAAACATGCAGCTCGAGATTCGCGTCATTAACCAACAATTGATAAACCACGACAGACAATGGACATGTTCTCAAAGGTGAATCAACTAATCTTCCACGTTCGTTGCCGATGGAAAATGGACATGGACGGTTCGCCGCGTTCCTTCGAATTTTACCAGTGCATAATAAATCGAAGCTCTTGCGCCATCGAGACGTGCCCTCGTCATATGAAATCGAACGACCTCGTCGTCTTTCGACGTCGTAACAGTCTAGCCGATAATACGAGAGGCCAGGTCGGATTCGATGGTGGTTACAAGCGGTGGAGGTACAACACGGCTAACTAACTGCATTGAGCGTGTCCGTCGCACGATTGAGAGGTGTACAGCAGGGTGGAAGGAAATATAAAGTCAGCGTATTTTTATTATCCACTACCACGCTTGGATAAATTTTTAATTGAAATTGAAATAAGGAATAATTATTTGAAATAATTTATTTCCAATATTGATTGTATTTAAAAATATAAATAATATCGATTTATATTTGAAAGGATTTCAAACAATAAATTATTTTGTTATTTGTTTGAACGACAAAATTTGAGAAGGAACAAGATAAGATGATTCAAAAGAATTCAAGAAGAAATATAATATTATAAAAGATGTATGATTTTATGATGTAAAGAAATTTTTTTACTTTTTTCTTTTTTCAATTTAAGTAATTTAATTTCAAGAAATTAAACTTTAACAAATATTAATATGTATTGCAAGATATATTGTGTACAGAATTTATGATATAAAGATTTTAATGTGTATTAATATATAGAATTGGTGATGTAAGATACAGAAGAATTTATAAATTTTGAATGATTGATTTTCTTTCAGATATTATTATTTATAGATTAAATTTAATCTGTATGTAACAATATGATAATTGTAATATGAAATGATTCACTCTTTTATAAGTAGAAAAAAAAAAATTTAAAAGATTGCATAATTTAACTTTTTGAAAACTGCAATCAATTGATAAGTTATTATGATTGAAATTAATCAAGTTTAGGAGGATATATTATTAGATAAAGATAAATATTACATATGTATTCTTTATATAGTAGTGGCAAGAAACTGGATTCGCCAGTTAATTTAGTTTATAGTTTGGTGAAATACGAGGTAGTTTTAGTTGTTTTGTTACTCAAATATCTGCTTTGTCATTCAATTCCAAATGTTGAATATCGTAGTAAATGAATCATATCAATATTATTATTTCATTATTCATTAAATAATTTAATTTGCTACTCAGTTTAAATCTCAAGTCTAAGCTTCGATTTCTGATAAGAAAAAAAAAGAAAATTCACAATATTATTTTAACCAATTATATCTTTACATTTTTTTTAAAAAACAGAAAAATTATCAAAAATCGAGTTCAACAAAAAAGATCAATTTCCATGAATTTTTTAAAAATAATCTTAATAAAAGAAAACAACAAAAAATATTCAATTTAATTTCAAGAAGTTAAATTTTAACAATTATTAATATGTATTATAAGATATATTGTGTACAGAGTTTATTTCTATATCAAAGATCTATAATAAATCATTTTTTATCAATATTTGTAGCTTACACGATTACACGATAGAGATTTTTTTTTATTTTACATAAATTACACGTAACAATTCAAAAATTATATTTCTTACTGCAATCGTTCCATTCTCAAAAATCTGATTTCGAACTTTCAAGAGATTTAAATTTACGTATATTTCCCATCTTCGTATCTTTATTTCCATCAAACGCAATATTCCCTTAACCGAATGCAAAACAATTACAAAGTCCAGAATCTAAACAGTATACTTACACAGTGTACGTTCATCCACACACCTATACCCCGCCCCCCCTTGCCAACATGTACACGCTTAAAAGCAAACGAACGAAGGTCTCAATCGTGGCGCAGCATAACGCAATAATAATCATAATGCCAGATCGATACGCGATATTCGTTGTATCGCACGGTGTATGTCATTACAAGGATGGAGGCACGAAAGCACACGGAATGCCGCGGAGTCGCGTAACGATGTCACTGTGAAAAATCCGCTTAAATTAACGGTCTCTTCGCCGCGAGATCTTCGCCTGTCCCTTTTTCCTCGCGTGCCTCTTCTTTTTTTCTCGTCTTTCTCCCTCTCTTCCCCACACCATCTTTCTCTCTTTCTCTCTCTCTCTTTCCCTTGTCCTTTCCCTTCGACGAAGTTTCAACGCGATTTTCATACGCGATATGCATCTTTCGATCGCGGCGGTGATTCTCGAAGAAAGTAAATAATATGCAAAATGCCTCGTAATGAGCGTACAATTACCGCAACGAGATTGTTCGATATTCCAGCAAAATCTGAAAATTGTAAATCAACTTCGAGAGACTTTCTAAGTTGCCTCGAAGAGTCACGTTCACATTTCATGGTAAAAATGATCGTGGACATTTTTGGAAATTCGATGATAATTGCATATCCCGTGGGTAGTCTCTAAATGAAAACTTGCCTTTTTGTGGAAAGTGGAATTGGTATTGCGCGCGCGTTGTATATATCGTATGATTGTTTAATGATGCGGGGAAAGGTCTAAGTTCAAGTTGTGTGGTACGATTGTGAATTTCTTATGATGACTCTCGAATTACGCGAATATATATGGATGATCTAAAAGTGATCGAAGTGGATAAAAGTGTTGTTGATCGCCACTCGTGGAGGATATTTCAATTTTCGTGCTAATGGAACGAGACACGATTAACCTAGAAACTTATCATGATTTATAACAATCGAAGAAGTGAAAGAATAGTAGGAGATTTTATTCAAATTCTGGAAATTCATCAATGTCGAGCTGCGCAGTTGTCCATTCGAAAGATTTATTAGGAAGGATTATTATTATTGTAACCCTTAATGCACGATGTGTAATGAGAGATTGTGAATGTGACGTTAATACGAAGATTGATTCTTTTCGTGAGAAACCTTGTGTAGATTGGAAATACATATGAAACGATTAATTTCTAGTTTTCTAATTGTATTTTTTAAAACAAATTTATAAAATTCTTTGGAATTATCCACGAGTTAGCGTTTCTAACCTCTACATTTTTCCACACTTTTCAAATTCCCCCAACTGATTTATTCTTTTATAATGATAAGATAAACTTAAAAACCGGAATTAAATAGTCAAAATTAAAAAAGGTCATTAAACTGCGTAGTTACGTGAACAACTTTGCGATATGATAAGGAACAACATAGTCTCAAGTTAAAACGCAAATCCAGGAACGGTTAATTGCATCTTAAAAGAAAGAGAAACTTTTTACTATCCTCCCAGTCAGATAACTACTAATTTATTGGCGATTGGTCCCTTTAAGATATATATTTATATGTATATTTATATACATATATATATATATATATAAAACTATACATCTATATACATCTATATACATCGTAGTCACAAGCGTGATTAACACCCAATCGCTTAAGCCATGAAGGCGCTTACTAACCTAACCTAGTAGTCGACGATTAATTTCTAGAGGAAATTATAAGTTTGAAACGGTCCACACATGGTTTCCCCATGTCGTGCCACTTACTGGAAGGACCGAAAATTATTGGCGGCCCATTTCTCTGGTAATTGGATCGTTCGTCAATCGTTGGACAATAAGGAAATAAATTATTATTCGATTATAGTTAAAAAACGTATATTTCACGTTTGTCACTTGGTGATTAATCGCTATGGAATGCAGGAAAATCAGGATCACTTATCATCTAAGTTTGAAAAATTTTAAAAATCAAAATTTATTGATATTTTAATTTTTGATAAATAGGTATTGAAAAAGAGAGAGAATACAAGCATTTATCTCTATTTGAAGAAAATGAAAATAAAAAATTATAAGTAAAAATTTTATGGATTAAAAATTATAATATCTAATATTAAAATATAAATAATAACCTATAAATAATATATCATCTATTTTTATTCTCAATTATTAATTCATTATAAACAAAATTTAACATTTCAATTTATTAACAAAAATTTAAACGAAAAAATTTTGAATGTAAAATTAAAAATAAATAATATATAACTACTACATGTATACGTGAAATCAAGCCATGGAAGAACGTGACCGCGTAAAATATCGAGAGGAAGAAATTGGATCGATTGGATAAATCCCTCCGGGGTCTTGTTATTCTCTTTTCTATATTAGATTAGGTGCAACTCTACGATACCTCTGATTTGATGGACCATAATATGGATACCGATTATTATAGCTGTTCGGTTGATTTGCTGCAACGGTAGTGATTAACGCTCCGATCGTTGTTTCTCGAATAGAAGCCGATCGATATCGAAGTCTATCGATATATACCGATCATTATCTAGTATCTGGCATTTTGAACCCGTCTATTAATGGAACCTTATTACCAACTCATCACCGCTAAAATTAACCAGACACTTTCATTAACCCGGTCTTTAAACCATGTGATTCGAATATTATATAATGAGCATCACTATCTTTTTACACAATTCTATCGATATATTCTTATGCTGCATTCTCATTGAAACAAGTATATGTAGAATTTTTTTATTATACTTTTGATAAAATTTTTAAATATATCTCACATTTTTTCATTTCACGATATGATCATATATTTGTAAAAAAAAAAAAAGAATGTTTAGAAAAATTTTAATAAAGAAGATTAATTTTTACGTATTTAAAAAAAAGTGCTAGTGAAATTTATTTTAGGTTAGCCTAGTTTCTTACGAAGTTTCTATTGCGAAGATCGTTGATTAAAGAAATTTCTAATTATAATGAAATTTGAGATGCTAACAAAATGTTTTGTTTTGTTACAGGATCCTATGCTAGAGGAGAAGAATCCGTCGACTTTGTTTTCTCGATGATCGACATCGAGTGCAATAATCGAAGTTTCGAGATGAAAAATGGACGACAGTCGCGCAAGTGTGTTTCGTTTACGTTTCTTCAATTCGTTCGTGATCGATGAAACGAGTAAGTGAATCGAATATATTCGTTATTAAAGAAACGGAGGACCAATAAGAGAACAGTGTCATAACGCGTGTGAAATGGATGGTACGCCAAAGAAAATCGAAGCAGTGTTAATATATGGATGCCCATGGGTGGAATTTGGCCGAAATGTGCCAGCGTTACCATCACGCTGTACCGGCAGCTCAAAATTCTTCGCCAGCTAGGGATCCCTCGGCTGCCATTGTGCAAGGCTTGTCAACGGCTACGCACATCGATCAGGCTAGCCCTTCTTATTCCCATTACACGTAAGTGTTCTTTTTAATTTTATTATCTCATTCTTTTAAATACGTGCATAAACATTTGTACTGTAACAATATTCGAAAAAGATACATATATATATATTATGATTAGAAAATAAGAGATTTAGTATCCTACAAATAAAAATTGAAATTCGTATTCAATTTTTCATAAAATTCTATTAAAAACAAACAAAATAAAAAGTGATCATATTTCAATACATGAAATCTTTCACGAATCAAAATTCCGAAATTATTAAAGATAAATATCACGAACGAATCACTAATTTATATACCACTTAACCTTAAAAAAAAAACGTATCCAAGGAAAAAGAAACAGACACTCTAATAACCATATTATAGTAAGAATCAATGAATCGACAGGAGGAGCGTAATTTCTCGCTCTTTCTCATTAATTCGAAATTACACAACGCGGTTAAAAGGCATTCTCGTGCAAAAAGAAAGAAAAATGACGTCGTTTCGGCGTTTTCGCGCGTGCCCTGTCCTATGTACTCATCCTTATCGCAACCACGGTACGTTCTCAATTGTATTATATATATTAATAACGATACAGCGAATTAGGGATAAGTATACGATTCCTTGGTCAGGGCTCGGTAATCCTGTTATTAGCGCGGCGATTAGGGGAAGATGATCCTCAGGCAAATTGCAGGGGCGTATACCGCGGTGTTTGGTTAACGTAATCGCCAATCACTATCGTTGATCCTCTCTCGCGGTAAAACAGAGAGAGAGAACTGAGGAAAGATATCGACAGAGGGAAAGAGAAGGTATATAAAGGATCGTAGAGAAGAGGAACAGGGTCGATGCGTCGGTTAGTATGAAACCCTCGGGACCTCACGTCATTTCCCTTCTTCGAGAATTTTCTCGTTTACGTTAGCAGAGAGCCTTGAAGCGAGTCAAGATCTCGCTCGTGTCCCGAAGACATTCGTGCCATGGAGTCGATTAAATTGCAGTTTACGCTCGGATTCAATATTTCACTGTTATTACGTGGAATTGGCGTAACCAAACGGCAGAAAAGTATTCTTCTTTAAACAGTCCAGGATTGTTAGGTTGACCACGTACAAGGAATTTCCTATTCCGTTTTACTTACGTGATACAAGATAGGTAATTTTATTGGGGGATATATAGTGTGTACAGTTTGGTATTTTATCGGTTGATGTATCGATTCGATTATTTATTTATTATTGATGAAGATTATATATTGTTTCTTGGATGGTTTGTTACAGTTCGATGTTGTATAGTTAAAATTGAACCGTTGTTGTTGTTTATCGTTAATATTCAATTTTTTATTCGATAAATTATTAATCAGATTTTTCAAGTTTTCTTAAATTATAAAGGCAAAAATTTAAGGTTAAGTCTTGTCTTTTTTCACATTTCGCGAAGCAGAAACTTATCTTACGCGCATGCGTATTCTCGACGAAAGAAAGTAGCGGATGAAACGGGATAAAAACGAAACTAAAACGGTTTCAAGATCGACTTTTTGAACTGCGTCGTTTCGCTGGCGACGAAAATCATCTTCATTAAAATTGTTCCGCTCGGTTCCATACGTTGCTCGCGCGGCCGTCGCATGGATCGCGAACCATGTCACGATATTCGCTCGGATACTCCGGCGAGTGACTCTTGTAGCCTAGATTCGAAGTGTTAACGTGTGATGTGTTTTCAACGTACGATTTTTACATCATCTTAATCCTATCCATATCGCAATGCCTTTTCTCGAAATCTCTTTAGCGCGATTCTTTAGTGCGATCGATGAGTAGCAAATTGGCTCGAGAACAGTTGGAACGTTCTTTGTTCTGCTATTTATAACTAAGGCTTGGACACATTTTATTGACGTGATGATAAAAGATAAGAATTTGAAGTAAATTCTAATATTTTAAGAATAATAGATGAAAATACTAATATAAATAATTACAATATAAATTTAATAAATAAAATGGTTTTTCGTCGAGATCGAGTGAATTTTTTTGAATATAGTTATTTTGTTATAAATTCTTGATGTTGTTAAAGAAATTCACGAAGGAATTTGAATTTCTGATGTAACTGAATATAGACAAAATGGAGTCGAAAAGTAATTCAAGAAGTTATTTTGAGAAAATATTTGTTCAAATATGATAAGATGCTAAGTGAAGTAATAAATTATTTTTATTTATAGTCAATGAATAATGAAATAATTCGAGAAAATTCATTCTCTTGTGTATGTATATTAGTATTTCTAAATTCTTTAAAAATTAAAATCTGTTCATCTATTTACTATTTTTATAATATTCATTTTTTCTCATTTCTACTACTATTCAAATTTCTTAAAATAAATCATTAAAGTCTCTCAGATATAGTCAAACAATTTTTTCACAACATCTTTTGAACTTCTCCTACAAATTTTCTTAAAAGATTCAATTATTTTTCTATTTTTATTTTCATTTAAATTTCCTGAAAATCATTGGTATCTCTTTATATTGTCTTTATATAGTAATACAACTTCTTTAAGATTTATTTTAACTTCTTACTAGTTTACTAGCTTATAAAATTAGAATTAGAATTTTTTCCATTTCTATTATTCCATTTTTCACTTCTCCATTAAAGTTTCTCGAAAATCATCGAATCATCAAAATTCCTTTTTATTGTCAAAGATATTCTTCGGAATATCCCAAAGCTAACTACGTTTAATTTTCCACTTCCATTTCCATCTTGATAATCATTAAACATTATCGACGTTGTTAAGAATGTTCTTCAGAGAATATTCATTAAATTTCCGTTAAATTAATACATAATTGGATTTTTCCACTTCTGGAACTTCTAATCGAATACAAAATAATTATTAATTGCAAATATTAATTGACGTCTTACGTTTCTGAAACATTGAGAGATGACGTTAGACGTGAGGCGACAGTTCTACAGTTAACATTTTCTCGTACAAAATAATATAAAATATTTATAATATTTCATCTGCATAAATTAATAAATTTTTACAAAATATAATTTTAACAAATTTTTAAAATTAAAACACATTTATTAATTTATTATTTTCAATAATGAAAGATAAAGTTATATACACTTGAGGACATACCATTCATACATTAAAAATTTTTTTAATAATATCACACATAAAATATCAATACATAAAATTTAACCTAAAACAGAGATGAAATTTGACAAACAGTCATTATCTCAGTTATTTAAAATGTACAAAAAAGTAAGATTATATGCGCTTGACAATATACAATAAAATTATCTAAAACAAAAAGCATCAGAGGAAATCGAAACGTTCATCGAGCAACGTTTATTAAAAATTACAAGTTCTATTCGATACCTTCTTCGCAATCAACTCGGAAAGAAAATCGTCAAAAGTTTCTATCGATCCTCGAAGGTCGACAACCTGTCGTCGTCGTCGTCGAAGAAACGAGGCCGATTCGCAAACATCAATTATATCGACGAAACGTCAATAATTCCTTGAACGATAAACTACGCGCGTTGCGTGTCGGTTTTTCTCGGTAACTCGGCTTCGCGTCGGGATTCATGAAGCTTCTCGTTGCGTCGCGAACGAACAATACACCGGACTTCCCCCGAATTTAGTCGACGATCGGCCATAACTCTCGATCGATCGTTTTAAACGAACGTTTCCCGAATATAATAACGTCGAACCGGCATGACACAGGCATAAGGCGCCCCCTCTGCGTCAGATTTTTGTCCTCGTGATTTTCTGGGATACGTTGATGAGTCAGATCGATGACTTGACGATTGGAACGGTGATTACGTATTAATTACGGATAAAAATCAATTACGGTCATTTCGATGGAATCGCCTCCTTTCAACGGTACGTTCCTTGAGCGACGTTTCCGTGAATTGCGATTCCACCTTATTTTCACTTTGGATAGATTTCTATGATTTTTGACTGGCAAATTTTCAATGTTATAGTTTCTCTTTATGAACTTTTTGTTTTGTAACTTTTTAATGTTTTCTTTTTTTTTTTTTTCTTTTTTTAATCTTTCGGCGAAGTTTAATCGAGATTCTTGCAAGATGTTTCTTGAATTTTTTCGTTAGCTTTGAATTTTATCGGATATTGTAATTTCATTTTCTGATGAATTTTTTATATTTTCGGTTATAGAATTTTCAATATTTTTTTTATTGAATCTCTTAGGAAAATATCGTTTCTAATATTAATGATTATTCATTAAATCTTATATAATAAAGATCCAATCGAAATACGCTCAAATATATAATAAATATATAATTATTGTTATTTATATTATTTTATTTTATTAATTGTTATTTTAATGTTATTTATATTATACAGTGATGTCGATTTGCAAGATATTTAAAATCTTGTATTACAAATTAATACGTATAACGTAACAATCTTAAATTATAAATATGAAAAAAATTATCGAAAAATATATCGAGGCAAGTGACAAAAAGATATTAATATAAGATTGGAATGTCGTAGTGCAAGTCGTGATTTGGAAATTAATTTTTAACGAAATATAATTTCAAGTAAAATGTAATGTACGTATTATACAAATTTACATTTATTGCATACATAGAAATAATATAACGTATTTAAAGGTAACGAGGAATGACGGAACTCCATGAAGTCGGCTCGTACGTGAAAGGTTAATTTATTTCAAACTTGCAACATTTATCGATGGTCTCTAGAAGCTGGCTAACAAACCGTGCAAAATTTCAGTCTCGAACTTTAACTTTATAATAGAATTTCGCGTTTGCCGTACCGTGGCACGGGATAATAACTTTGGTTGCACGGTAATTTCAAGGTGTAAAATTATTCGCCTATTAGGCTAATCGATAATGCTTGGGATTAAATAGTCACTGGTGAATTTTATGTTGTTTTCATTATGGCCATGTCGAAAATGGTTTATTCACTTCGTGCAACGAGGTGATCTAAAAAGAGTAAAAAATAAAACTGTTATTAAGAGAAATAAAAAAAGAAAATCAACAAAATTACAACATTTTTTAAGCAATTACTTGCAAAATAATCT